CAGGCCTTAAAGGGGAAGTTGGTGTGCCAGGCTTAACAGGTATTAATTTCACGGTTGCTCTGGATTTATTACTTTTCACATACTAAAGTCCACAGAGGAAGGGAGGGGGAGCTTACCATGGGCCTTTGATGGCTGTTGCACCTGTGCTCTCACGACAGCTCCTGAAGAGGTTCATCTTTATTGCAGCAAGTATGTGCTACGTTTACCTCTTCAACTGAAAATACAGTTATAGCAGTAATCATCAATCACATGCAACTCCAATAAACATTTCTGTGCAATTTTTTGCCATTGATGACAAAAGGAGCAATATCAGGCCATAATTATAGAAGATGGGATAGCAGAGTCAGGTTGATTTTGGATTGGGTTGGATTTGTTCCCTGCACAGGCAGCACATGTGAACATTGATGTCATATTCCGCATAATTTGGGAAGTACTTTTAAAACCAATTTTAATGATGGTTTGACCAGAATGGTGTAGACAACTATTCATTCCCCCAGATTATGCAAGCACCCTGACTAGAAGAATGTCTTTATGTGGCAAGACCAGGACCCATTCAGTAGGCAACCTCACATTATGCTTGTTAGCTTAGGGTCATATAGAGATTATTAAAAGAATATACTGGTTTTGTGGTTTTACAGGCTCAAGAGGAGGCACAGGACAAAAAGGTGAAGGTGGTGATCCTGGTTTCCCTGGCATTGAAGGTCTCAAGGGCACACAGGGCGTCCATGGCTCTGTGGGACAGGAAGGTAAAATATTCTTTTCAATGCTCCAAAGAATAAAACTGTTTAAGAAGAAAAAGAAAAAAGTCTCTTTTCCCTCAAAAGAAAGTCGTTAAGTTTTTTAATATGCTGATCATTCTGTAAGTTGGTAAAGAGCAGTTAAAAGGATGTGGAACTCGTGGTAGAACTTATTAAGAGAAAATTTGAAAAGCCTAACACTGCTTCATACCAGTTTTAACTTTTTTATAGCGATCATGTGTCCAGTCAAAGTGTTGTATTGCTGGCATGCTCAGGTATTCTAATGCTGTCTCAGTACTACAAGGAGGTGGGCTTTTCAGTGCTTTTTGGCATAAATGAAGTCAATATTCCTCAGGACCCAGTTACTCAGGAGCCTTTGAGCCAGGCTCATCAGCCAACTGTACAAGAGTACTGGGGAGCTGAAGTCAGATTCAGCTCTGGCTGGATCATGAACTTGGGGCTTAAGAACATGTCTTATTGCAGGAAGGTCATGAAAATGCTCTTTTAGAACAGTTACTCCACATTTCTTATGTAATTATAGGGCTTAGAAACTCCATCCAAGACTGGAGCCGTTACTTTCTCACTGAGAAACAGTCCTTGTCCGATCAGCTTTCCAGTCAGAAAGGCAAAACAAATGTAGCAGAAGGGGAAACTGAGGTGCACATATATGAAATTGCTTATTTTAACTGGCAATAGAAGTAAAATTATCATTTTAATAGGAGGAGCCCACTGTATTTCTGAGGTTGTCAGAAACCTGAAGTTTGTAATTAATTGTTCTGTTATACCTTGCCTCTCCTACCTTTGCTGTCTTTTGTTTTCTTCCATTTGGATGAGCGGTGCAGTGTCATACAACGACATCAAGAGGGGAAAGCTTTCGTTTTACTACCTGGGAAAATGAAGGTGGCACAAGTCCATGTTTTGGGCTATTGATTTTAAGGACACTCATAAGCAATGATTCATCATTGTCACGCAGGTTTGCCAGGACTGGTTGGCCCCCCAGGGCAGCAAGGAAGCCCTGGGACACCTGGATTGCAAGGTGAAAAGGGACCTCCGGGCTGGCCTGGCTTACCAGGACAAGCAGGTATTCATACAACTTCAGCTCTTGAGTGATTTCAGTGTGAGCACTTGCTATTGTTTTTTTGGGGTGAAGAAGAAGAAAGGGGGCTTTTTGCACTTCAGAATGGCAGAGTTCCCTCTAGTAAACATTTATTCCTCATAAAGTCCAGGTGCATTAATGAAGACCCACGTAGTTGCTTTCTGATTTATGGCTTCTGAAGGACTGGTGTCTACTGAGCTCACTTTAACTGCTGATAACCTCCCTCAACTAGGAAAGCAGTTTTCAGGAAACTTTTCCGTTTTTCATGACAGCTGGGAAAAAAACCCAAAAAATTATTTAAAATGCAGCAAGAGTAGTGATATGCAGTATTAGAATATTATAACGTGGCATTAGATAGCAAACAATATACTTGTCCTACCTCATCGTTAAAAACTGTGAACTGATCCAATGTCTGCCTTTAAGGATAAATGACTTACCACTCAGACAGAATTCCGCTATGAAAATACAGGTGATAGTTTAAAATGAAGCTGTATCACAGGATACAGAATCTCATTGGTTGACACCTAATTCCTTAATATATTAAGTAAGCAGATTTTTTTCTACATTACAGCCAGACATTGCCCCGCTTTTAGTAAGATTCATCTATCTGAATCTGCATCAAATCTAAGCTAATACGGTTATGAAGGCTGCCTTTTATAGACAGTGAAGAGAGAGACAGACACTTTTGCTATGGTTGAATTGTCCTCCAGAGCTCTGGCCATTGATTAGAGATACCTGTCTAGCTTTAACATCATGCTTAACACTTTGACAGGTACAAATAGATGGGATACATTTTACCTGTAACAGCAGCAGCTATTAGACGTTTTGTTAGAGTTGTGTTGGTTTTTTTAAATGATACGGAGTGAATTTCTCCTGAAGAGAGCTTCATTGTAATCACACTTAGAGCCTACAATTATGCCATAATTGTCTTGGTTTGAGGATTTTGGAAAACTAAATGGTTATTAACAAAATTGTGGCAACAAGACTGGAACTAATGGCATGCTACTGGATGGATCAGAGATACTTAAAAAAAAAAAATCTCGTAGTGAGTTTATTGGATAATAACAAAATTTGTCCATCACAAAACCATGGTGTGGTGTATTTCATAATAAGTTTATTGTAATGAATCAATCTGCATATAATACACAAGATTTTAACACAGAATTGTATTTATTCAAGCATTTGAATTTTTTGCCTAGGAATATATACAGACTCATAGAAACGATTATAATAATCATGAATGTAATTTTAAAACAGGCTTGCCTGGCTTAAGAGGAATCAGTGGATTGCATGGTTTACCAGGCACTAAGGGTTTACCAGGTTCACCAGGTAAGTGAGACTTTTATTCTGCCTGTTCATAGGTACAACATTCTGTTGGCTGCAGGTTTGTTTGGTGAGATCTTTGCAATGTGACTTTCTCAGCTGTGTCATCCAAAGCCCAATGTGGAATTTGCTTCATTATTTTGGGCTCTGGCAAATAACTTCATACGCAACGTGCTGCCACACAGATGGATTAGAACACAACTTCAAATCATAATTTCTTTCCTCTTATAAAGTTAAAGCCTCAAGGCCTTTTTTTCCCATTATGAGCTATTTTTTCAATGAGCCCTTACAGACTCATGTAGTTAGTAAATCCACATGCTCTATATGTGTACATTAGCATGCTGATACATTGTTACACGCGGAAACATTTCAGCTTTCATCTTAATTTTGAACAACTCCACAACAGGTCCAGATGGCTACGGCTCTGCAGGTTTCCCAGGTGCAGTGGGTGACAAAGGGGAGGCGGGAGAGCCGAGCAGAGTGGAAGGCAGTCGAGGACCTCCGGGTCAGAAGGGAGACAGAGGTGTTCCAGGTTTGTATTCCAGAGAATGGGATCTACTTATTATTTGCTTCAACTGCAGGTGTTACAGATGTCACAAACTGCAGTACAGAGTAGACAGTGACACAGAAGAGCCCCCGATGTGGGGAAAGTCACTGTTTGGAGTTCGTGCTGCAGCTCAGCCAGCCCTGGCTCAGAAACAGCAACGTGTATTACCCAACGCTGGACAAGCCAGCCCCTCCAGGGCAGCCGAGGTCCTTCCCCATGGTAGCAGCATCTTGTAGCACCCACTGAGCTCAGCAAGCTATGAATGCCAGAGGCTACTCTTAGCCATCAGCTCCCAAAATATTTTTAATGAGGCTCCGGTTACACAAATGCTATGGCTTTTCTTTCTTTCTTTCTTTTTTGTTGCAAATCCGTCAACGCTTAGCTTTTTTCTGAAAGCCCCACTGTCTATCAATGTGTGATTGTCCTGCTGATCCCTCCTGGGCTCTATTCCCAATGCACAGTGCTTTACTTGTACCATCACCCCTCGTGCCATGTAAGCGTACAGCCTTCCAGCTCAAACTCACCTAGTAGCGGACTGCGCTTACCTCAGTATGGTTCACCAGCAGTTCTTCCATCAGGGAGCCACCAGACTGATGTTATGGACGAACCAACTAATTACAGGGGTTTTTTTAAAGTTTTCCAACATTTCGGCTCTGAAAGGATTAAGGACTGGCATAGATGTAAAACCTTCCTGCCTTTGGCTCCTTGGTTCAATGGCTCATTCCTATCCTTTTGTCTTACGCTTTGTTGTTACTAACACGCTGTGCTACCTCAAACACCATTCAGAGATTTATTATCAAGCCCTGGAAGAAACAGCTATTTCACTTCTCTCATTCATCTTTCTTTGTCAGAATTAAATACTATTAATTTTTTTAAAATGAATAAACAAAAGGGGTTTTGCGGCTTCCTGACAACTTGAAGCTACTTAAAAGAACAATCTGTCATTGGTGGGCCAGATTTTTGGCCATTTAACACTATTCATCTACAGAGAACTTCTTGACTTCAAACTTTTTGGTTTTAACTGACCCAAAAGAACCCTAAGTGTCTGTGACCCCTGACTCCAAAGGACACAGAAGAACAAAGCTGCTTTCTTGGCTGCTTCAATATACCTAGGATATTTTGAGTACTTCCTATCTTGAAATAATATTTTACCTGGCAGACGCAAGATTATTAGCATTCCACACAGTGAGATGTAATTAGCTATCCAGAGAGCTTTGGCACAGAACTGTACTTGGTTCTTTTAAGAATAACCTCCACAACATCATCTGAAAAAAATAAAA